TTGACAGCATAGAAACTACTGGTCAGTGCGTGCGTGCGCACGCGTGCGTGCGCACGCGTGCGTGCGTGAGTGTGTGTGTGTGTGTGTGTGTGTGTGTGTGTGTGTGTGTGTGCACAAGTAGGAAAGTAAAATGTATTTTGGTTTATTCAGTCCAACAAACAGAAAGAAAATCACTTGTTTTTACATTACTATGTTACCTCTGTTAACACAGGTATAACATTTTCACTCCTGACAATTACCAGCTAATTATAACCCAAACAACACATTGCCAAGTGCATATAATTTCCTTCATTGAAAGTTGTTCCACCAGATACTTAGCAAATGCCTGCAGACTTTCCAAATTACAAGCTATATGAATTCTTTCTGTGAATATTTATATTATTAAGGTATTATCTATATATAATCACAAAGGCCTTTCTCACTTTAAAAGTACTGTGATTTTATCTGAATTTTTTTATTCAACCTTCCTCCACTCCAAGGGAACATTGAATAAACCTGGGGCCTATGAAAATTTGGACATATCTTGTACTTATCAATCCTGCTGAACATGAATGAAAAAATACTGTGCTCCAAATGTCCTATATTTCACCTGGGTTTATTGAATTACAGATTACTTTAAAGGGTGAAATGAAATACTGGCTACTCAGAGGTGTTCAGAAATGAGTTCCTTACATAACTGTTTGTATTTTGGTAAACATCTGCACAAATTGAGATTAAAAAGGAAGGGAGAGAGGAAGGGAGGAAGAGAGGAAGGGGTTTGGAGACAGGAGATCTTTCCTAGGTAGTCAAGTACCTCACCTAAATTACTGCCGTCTTTTTTCTATATTTTCACAATATCGTGGATAATTTTGACATTTTCACCAATCAGCCATCTAGCAACTACTTTGTATACATTGCCAAAGATACCTTAAAGGAAGTGTAAGACACAATACATTCCAAGGGTTTCAACTGGCAAAAGTAACCAATGTTTGTCAGAATCAGTAAGGGCTGACATGTCTAAGTTCTGACAAGGGCACTACTCCAACTATATTCCAGAAAATATTCATCCTAGCAAATGATATTTTCTATTTTCTTGGAAAATAATTTTTGAAGATTTTTTTTACATGTGTACATTGTATTTGGATCTTTTCTACCCCATCCCTCTCCCAACTTGTGTTCCCCCAGTGACATGCTCTTTAGTTCATGACTATATTAATCCAGTATTTACATGAGCTTAAGGTTGACTCCTTAGGATTGGGGTTATGCCTTTTTTCAAAAGGAGAAGAAAACTGGTTTACTTCCTTAACAGCTATTGTCATTGTAGCTCTTCACTTAGGGGTGGGATCTTGTGAAATTTTCCTCTATCCACGTGGGAATTGCATTTTCTTATGAGTCAATGTCTACAACCAGAGAATTTAAAAGCTAACTTTAGTTTTAATTACACAAAAGTAGTTAATCTTGGAATGATTCTAGAATATTAGACAATTCTGTGTCTGCTTTAAGAGAAGGCATGAGAACTGAAGTACTATATAGCTGATATGAAAGGGTTGCAGTATTCATAATCCCCACTTTTCCAACAACCACTCTCAAATCAAAAGTGGCTGAGGCTCAAGAAGTAAGCTAGAAGACTGAATTGCAAAGCAACAATAGAAAACATGCCCCCACCAGAAGCCATCATCAAATGCTATAAAACTGAATCTCTTGAGCAGTTCTCACAGGTGACCCCCCGCCCCACCCCATGAGCAGATCATGTGGGCTTAGAGTGTTCCTTTGCTTAAAGATGACACACATCTCTAACTAACTTATATGTATGGCTTTTCAGCAAACCATAAATCAGAATCAGCTAATTAAAAGGGAGAAACTTGCTAGCATAAGCATCCCGGGAACAGCAAAATGTGAGGGTTTGTAAGTCAAATAAAACAGTCACAACTACCTAGAATAACAAAAGAATTATTATAATTCAGAAGGGTATTTACACTATTCACCTATCACTTTCAAGGACAGTGTGTAGAAGTAGTAATAAATTCACATTTTTTTTGTTGTATAATCTATTTTTTAGTGTTCTGATGGCTGAATATTGAGAATTTATATATTTACCAAGGTGTTTAACACTTTCTTTTCTTTACATCCTTGATAGTCTTTGATACTTCTTATCTTTGTGAGAATAGCCTTTCTGGCTTCAGTAAGATATCTAATCATAATATTGATTTGTATTTTTCCAATAGTTAATGACATTGAGCATTTTCCATGTATTTGTTGATCATTTTTATTCCTTCTTTTTGATAAATGTCTATGTAGATCATTTTCCATTTTTAACTGGACTTGGTAATTTTTTTGGTGACAATTTCTCATTCTGTAGCCCAGCTGTCCTGGTAGACCAAGCTCTTTTCAAACAGTGATGATTCTATTGCCTTAACCTCTAGAATGCCGAAAATACAAGTATCAGTCACCATTTTTTAAAATCATGTAAGTGGTAGCTAAATTAGTGGAAGAAATTCCAGATAAAAGATCCATATTTTAATATCCAATAATTCAGGACATGCAATAGAGGAAAAATATAAATAACTAAAGTATTTCTATGGAACAGGCCATCAGTGTCTGATCAATTGATGTTCACAGTGAATACACAGTAATTATTTCAGTCCCAGAAAAATAAGTATTATAATAAGAACACATCTGTTGATCACTGTGACTAAATCTATCATCACTCTTTCATTCTTTAAATATAAAAAACAGTAATGAGATATACTGCATGCAGATGTAAGGCCAAAAGCAATTCATAAGTGGTTGTATTAAGTAGGTATTATTATCCACAGTTTTGTAGAAGAAACTATGTCCCAAATCCTTTCAGGCACCCCAATACACATAATTAAATAAAATGAGTAAAAGACTGAAGGGAAATATAAGATCCACATTTTCCTTCCTCTCTTCTTTACTACAATGGGGTACACCTCTACCAAATCCTAAAATCTTTTTTACAACTTCCTTCAGAGAGAATACATCTTGCTTCTGATATATATATATATATATATATATATATATATGATTCAGCAATAAACATTCATAAATAAGCACAAATCTTGGACATATTATTTTAGAGCCCTATTATGTGTTCATTTTCTTGTATACATTTGGCTTACTATGTCCTTCCACTTCCTGTGCTGCCATCTTTCTCTTCCAAACTGAATAATCACTTTTCATCATGATGTGCAGTTTTCCTTATTAATTCATTCTCAAAGATAAACTTAGATCTTCGAACACCTTAAATCTTAGGTATTATTAGCATCCTTTCAACACTCACCATTTTCCAGGTCATAGGAGTAGAATGGGCACATTCCAATGTTTCCCTGCGTCTGTTTCTCACCTATTTTTTTACACTAATATTCTTAGGTAGATTATATTATTGTACCCATCCTACATATGAGGAAGCTGTGACTCAAACAATCTGTGAGTAATTTCTCAATGTTCCCTCAATCTGTAGTGAAGCAGGAGTCAGGATTAACATTGCCTAAATTCAATATTGTCATGAATACTATACATTACATACTTTTATGACTATTTTCTCCTTGTAATAATTAATCAGTTTGAAGAATCTGTAGAACTTATGTATATTTGTAGCTATAGAAAAATGCATATATGTGTGAAAGTTTAAAAATTCTGTTGAAGTATTTTAAAGATCTGACTACAATACAATAGTATTGGACATGATTTAATGCTGATGCAAACACCATTAGTTCCTGTCGTTAGTTATAAATTTATTTCTTAAATGGTGAGATTGTAGAATAAAGTAAAACCAAGCCATGTTTTGTTAAGGCAGAGAAGTAAAATACATGTAAATTTGATAGCTAAATCAGAAGTCCTCTTACAAAGTGAATGGACTTAGTTAATGTTGTTTAAGTAAAGGAGAGAGTATTGAAAACATGGAGGCAATGCCACTAGAGGGAGAGTTAATAAGTGCTGAAAAAGAGATAGCAATTTGTTTCCAATACGAAGAATCGGGATTGGTAAGGGCTGGAAAAGACTAGAGCAGTGGTTTTCATCCTTCCCAGTGCTGCGACCTTTTAATACAGTTGTGGTGATCCCTCAACCACAATTTTTTTTCGTTGCTACTTCATAAATGTAATTTTGCTACTGTTACAAATCATAATGCAAATATCCATGTTTTCCAATGCTCTTAGGCAACCCCTGTGAAAGGATCACTTCAATCACAAAGGGGTCATGTCCCACAGGTTGAGAAACACTGGAAGAGAGCTGCTAACTGGCTCTGTAGTAGAACCAGGGCAATACCTGTTCACATGTTTGTAAGTACTCAAGTAGATTTCCAAGTACATTGGTATGTGATATGTGCCTACTTTGTCCCTCAGGCAGGCATTAGAATAAGTGTTGTGGCTGTAATAGTCTTGAGGTCATGGTAGTTTGCATGGCAGGTGATTTTCTGGAAAAAGCCAAGAAAAAAGGCCTTGGTCTCTTCTTTTGGTGGCCATCAGAATGGTGATAAAGGACACATGGGACAGAGTGGATCCTTCTAATAGAAGCAGGGAAAGAACACTGGCATTTGTGGATTCTGGAAGAGCTTTGGATTTCTTACCAGAATGGGATTTGAATCTATGCATCCTGATATGAAAAGTCTGGAGAACCTTAAGTGGCTATTTTGAGTACACTGGAGAACCTTGACCATTCAGTTTTCTAAAAAGGATAATGTTAACTGCAAGAACTGAGAAGTAGACAATGGAATAGAACTTTCTTAAAAATGAATTTGAATGTATCAGCATATGCAGTAAACTAATTTGCTGACTTGAAGACAGCCTCCCAAACCTACTATTGCCTGTAATGAAAGACTATCTGCACTAATCACAACATGCAACCTTAACAGTGCTCAAAGCATCTCAAAAATCATGATACAGGGATTTTTCTTTAGACTCAACACATTTTTCGTTCAGAAACCTGATTGGCTGTTCTAGATGCTCTGCATAGTATAAATTCAGGCTCAGAGTTGGAAGAAGTCAAAGGATCAAGCATCCCTGAGCTTCAGACAGAAGTCACTCAGAACACATTCAAAGGTATGTGGATTTCATTCATAATTTACCATTTTTATTGTGGTAATTTCTTTCTCTGAATTTCATGTTTCGAATATATTGCACATTTTTATGACTCTGTGCTATCCACACCACATGTGCTTCTTCAGTTTTACTATGATTAAATTTTAGTCTCTGATAATTGAATCTTTAACTTTATAGTACAGTAATGTGTTTGTGTGCATGTCTATGAGATTCAGGTCAAGCATTCCAAAGCTTTTGGGGAGCCAGATTTCACACCAGAATGTTTCTTTGCTTTTTAATTAAGATAGTGCTTTAATAGGCTATGACCTACTTCTTTACAAAACTTTAATTATATCAAGTGTAAGTGCTTTTTTTAATTAAGGTAACCTCTGAAAAAATAGACCTAGAAGGTAGAAAATCTCAAAGTACTTTTCATAGCCAGCACCATTACATGTTACATTCATATCCTACATATACTTCAAGGTGTTGTCATAAAACAATGTGCATGTTTTGGGATGGCCAGTGCTTGCTTCATGTTTCAAGGACCTTAATATGTAGAAGAATTCCAGTGTAGTTGACATGCAAAAAGAGGATGCTACTGACTGAAGATAGAATTTTTTTAGGTAGAATTCATTCCAGAACCATTAAAGAAGCATCGAATGTTAGCACTGTTCCCTCTCTTTGGTTTAACCATATCTTTTGCTTCACACCTGGAGCTCAAAGGTGTTATGAGAGATTCTTGTCTAAAATTCTACAGATGGTGACATCTGGACCTAAACCGACTCCTTCATCAATCTATCCTGGAAAATTATTCAATATTTTCTCAAATAATTAGTTTATGCTTTTAACAGTAGCAATGCTCAAGTGGGCTGTACCCAAAAAGAACATTTCTGTCTCTTACAAAACTATAAAATTACATTCACTAGATTATCTACCAAACCCTTCTATTTGACTCTATTCTTTTAATCATTATTTATCGATTCCATTTAGCTTCCATGAGTCTACAAGCTGTATAGGTACAGAAAAATGGTATACAAAATCATTTTGGTAGATCATTTGTGTTCCTATAACTTGTTAACCTTCAGCTTAGTTGAAAAGCCCCTTTATCATTTTCATAACTTCAGAAGCAATTATATGAGTTGAAAAATGGGAATCACACATGAATGAAGTCCTTTGCCAAGAAGGACTCCACCTTCTTTTTATTAGCAACACACTAATGTGGTCTGTATACATATATGAAACATAATTATGTTCATGCCTACAAAAATATTTTTAAAAATGGCTGGTGTTGATTTACATTTCAGAACCATCAAGAAATGGGGACCTGGATTTTGTTTGCCTGCCTCCTGGGAGCAGCTTTTGCTATGCCCGTGAGTAAAACACTCCTTTTATTGACTGTATCCAATTTCATAAGCTTAGAAATATAAATCTGTCCCCCTGGTTGGTAAATTTCAGGGTTTAATACAGCACAAGATCTGATATCCCCGAGTGTCTAAGTGTTGAAGAAACCCTTAAGGAGCTTGTTAAATAGAAAATCATGAATGTCTCCACCACCGATTGTGATTCAGTACAGCTGAAGGGAGGCCAAGCACTCAGCATTTTAACAAGCATTTTACCCCCAGAAGACCCTGCCATAACAATTAGCTTGTAAACACCACTGCCCATCTCTATGAGGAGTTATCTATTTGAAGGAATTCTTGAAAGGCTTCCAGAGAAAGTTTACTCAGCCTTAGGCAAATGCAACATCCAAACAATCTCTAAAACTCAATTCCTCATAAGTTTCAAAATTTCTTCTTGCCCTCCAAATGCCACTGCTGTTACCCTTAAGTAGGTAATATTTTTACATTAGAAATTCCTTCTTGCACCACCTCACTGTTAAAAGCCCCTCCCCCTTACTCCTTAGGTAGGACTCAGCCTTAGCAAGGTTCTGGAATCCTGCCTATGCCAAATGCTTTGAAAGCAAAAATATATAGTACAAGGTCTGTTCTGTACCATTCAAATGTCCCAAAGACCAGGAGGTCTGGCCCACTCTCTAGACACAGGCAGAAGGCTACTGCCACATGCCAGCAAAGATTTTGGTGATAAAAAGAACATTTGATACTATAGAAGCCAGTAAGTTTGTAGACCTTGTGCTCTGTATTCTTGAAATCCTGCATTTTGATGATTCCTTATCCTCTGAGGAGCTCTGACATTTAAAAATTCAGTCCTTTATAACACCTTAGTCTCAGAGAGCTTATATCAAGACAATATAGGGAAGACAGCTACCTAACTAAAGTTCATTTACATTCAGATGAGAGTGAATAAATCCAATTGCAAAACACATGCATTTTGGAAGAGCAGATTTGAACTGACCCTTAAGTAGCTTTGTGTCTGAGGGAGGTTTTCTGCTTTAATCTCACACCTTTCTGTCTCCTGCCCCCACTGCCCTGGGCCATCCAGAACTCCATAAGTCAGGTATTAGTCAGCTGGCCCCCACTTTGGGAAGCACAGAGAGTTCTGGTTTAGAAAATTGTTCAGGTTGCTTTTTATGTGGAACTTCTAAATTTCTGTCATAAACCATTGACACAATAATAAAAAGGGTTGGCCTTGAACTTCAATAAATCAATTATTTTCTTGTTCAGGGGATATATTTAGAATGTTTATAGTTTATTATTCTCATCTTGTTCTCACATTGAACAATAGAGTTGGTGTGTTATTTATTTACTTTGCATGTTAATTACTAGGAATCCCTTTGATACTTGAACACTTAATTAACTGATATATAAAGGGACCCTTTGTGAAACAATTCCTTGCTTCTTGTTGTTTTTAAATTGTGTAACAGAAACATACCTCTGTTCCTAACACAGAGGGAGTTTGATCAACCAGTAAATGGGTGGGTAGAAGGGGTAGGATTCTTTGATGGTTGATGGGTTTAATCCAAAGATCCCTGGAGGACAAATGTATTCTGCATTCTGCTTCCAGGTCTCCCCTGGGAAAGTCATTCAGCTAGTTAGAGCCTCTTTTAAGTGAGAAGGCTCCTCCTCCACAGCATACACACTCAGACTAAAAGTAGCCCTCAAATACATTCTGTACTATGCATATTTTTTAAATGTAGCATTAGAGACGCTTAATGTGAAAAATTGTGTATTGACTTAATTTGTTTCTTTCTCTTCCTCTTTCTCCCTCCCCCTTTGTTTCTCCCTCCTTTTTTCTTTCAATTTGCCTTATCCCTTTTCTGAAAAAGCTACCACCTCATCCGGGGAGCCCTGGTTATATCAACTTAAGCTATGAGGTAATTTTTCTATTTACTAATTTTGACCACTATCTGAGTTAAAGATGTCCTGAGATCTGTAAAGAGTGCTGTATTGATTCTTCATTCAAGATGTTTCTCAAATGGTCACACTTTTTCAGTTCCCACCAGCAGCTTGAAGCCCCGACTGATGGCCTCAAGCCTGCATTTCCCAGCACCCTCCTACCTGGTCACTCTGACTCAGCCTCCACTTTTAAACCTAATTATAAATGTATCCACCATGAACTACCACTCAGGAAGGCTCCATGATAGGGCAGAAACTGAACTCGGCTTCAACAGTCTTGTTCTATGCCAGCCTATAAAATTCGAGGAGTAAGTAAGATGTTAAAATCTTTTCTAGCTGGAAAAAAAAAATTGCTGATTCAAAGATATCCAGACACCGTGTGTGTTTCTCATTGGCTATGCTAAGTGATTAATGAAAAGTGGTTTATAAGAGTCTCTTCAGAGTGATGGAAAGCAGAAGAGTTCTAGAAACAGGGTTTGGGGTTCTCCTCAACCACAAGCAAACTATATAACATTGAGAAGATCTGTTTTTCCTTCTGGAACTCTGTTTTCCTCATTTAGAGAAGGGAAACAATGATAACTGCATTTCAAAAATATTATTCAGAGACTAATAAAGGGCATGAAAAGTGCTATGTCACTCATAACTTGAGGGAGGTTAATAGTTTTTTTGTTGTATTGATTAAATGGTGTACCATATGAGTCTAATTAATAAGACTATACTGTCCAGAAAGGGATGAAATTCTATCTCACAGGTTCAGATAAAGTCTGTTTAGTCATATAAACTGAAGAAAAATGCTAATAAGAATCTGAGGCAAATTTTACTGTTTTATCTTAAAATGTTGATATATTTGACCAAGAAACCTATGTCTTAAGGATGAAAGACAATGTTTACACCTCCTCTCTCCATTGTGATATCAAATAAGAAAGAACTAAATGAATATTATATCACATTGTTGGGTCATAAGTTTTTAATTGTTTGTTTTGCTCTTTCAATGAAGAGCAGGAACTGTGGAATTAAATCGATTACTACTTTCGTAACTTCAGCTGAGTGAATGAACCTACCTGAGTTTTCATAACGTTACCTATAAAAGTGAGGGTGATACCTGCCTCAGGTCATGGAAGAAAACATGAAAAGTGGATGGGATGGATATAACACAGTACCTGACACATAGGAAACATCCAACAAATGTTTACCTTCTTCTTTCTTTTGTAGAAGTCACATTCTCAGGCTATCAATACTGACAGGACTGCATTAGTGAGTCTATATTTCATACTGCATTAGTGAGTTTAGTATTTAGTTCATATGTAATTAAACTTAATCAAATGCATTCTAATATCTCTTTCTCTTAAGGTGCTTACCCCTTTGAAGTGGTACCAGAGCATGATAAGGCAGCCGGTATGTACACATTTTGTTCTTCATTCCCTTAAGAGAATAGGCATGCATTTAAATTCCCTTTTTAACTGAAGTATGTCTACTCCACCTACAAACACTAATGGGAATTTTAGTTTGTAAAAGGTCATATCTTTACACTGTTAGAAATTCTTGCAAAGGAAAAAATGACTAAAATATTCATAAGGTCATAATAACAAACACTACTGCTACTTCTCCAGTTAGAGGTCAACTGAGCCAATGGTAAACCTGACTCTTTGTTTCTCACCAGTATCCTTCCTATGGTTACGAACCCATGGGTGGATGGCTGCACCACCAAATCATCCCTGTGCTGTCTCAACAGCATCCCCCGAGTCACACCCTTCAGCCTCATCACCACCTCCCAGTGGTGCCAGCTCAACAGCCAGTGGCCCCCCAGCAGCCAATGATGCCAGTTCCTGGCCACCACTCCATGACTCCAACCCAACACCACCAGCCAAACATCCCTCCATCTGCCCAGCAGCCCTTCCAGCAGCCCTTCCAGCCCCAGGCCATTCCACCCCAGTCTCATCAGCCCATGCAGCCCCAGTCACCTCTGCACCCCATGCAGCCCCTGGCACCACAGCCACCTCTGCCTCCACTGTTCTCCATGCAGCCCCTGTCCCCCATTCTTCCTGAGCTGCCTCTGGAAGCTTGGCCAGCGACAGACAAGACCAAGCGGGAAGAAGTGGTGAGTATACCTTGAAGCCAGAAAAAAGACAACAGAACTGGCCCCAGTGTTCTAAGTTTCAAAACAAATCAGAGCCCAGAGATGCAGACACTATAGGTCTTTGCTTCTGTTTAGTCCAAGCATATATTGTATTTTTTTTCTTTTTTACAAATGAATTTGTTGACATGGCTTGGTAATTAACACCATGGATTTTATGGTGTATTTAAGTTTTAATTATTGAATTTTCACCAGAATATGTATTACTGAAATGTACCCATTTTAATAGTAACATAACAGGTGAATATCATTTTTTTTAATATTTCAAAGGTTTGACTAGTTTGAATGGGCTAAACTTCAGGAAGAATATAAAAAAGGAGTAATTTTTGAGAATGAGGAGGGCAAATATTTGAACAAGTTGAAAGAGGTAGATAGGAATTATCTTTCAGGACGTATAGGAAAATTGTCAGTCTAGAGTGATCATTCAACTTGAAAGTGGCTAAATTAATGAGACTGTTAGGTTCTTCTTCAGTACTAGGACTCCACAGACTAAGCGTTTGACAAGCGGTTGTCACAATTTAGCATTAAATATTCCTGTGTTACAGAAAGCTCTTACAAACAAATCAGAATAGTTAATAAAATGATCCTTATGCACACACATAAGTTACATATATGAAATGATGTGATATACTATGCACATGGATCCAAATGTGATTCCAACTCATAAATGCTATGAATGATTTGCTACTAAGAATCAAAGAGGAGCAAGGCAGGAATAACCTTGATTGGGAGTTAAGACACCTGGATTCTAGCCCTAGCTTTTCCCTCAAAAGAAGAGGTGGTAGGGTACCAAGTTACTTCCATTTGGGGGGTGTTTCACCTCTTTAAAACAGGAAAGGAAAAAAGATAACTTTTAACTCTAAATATTAATGCTACAGTTTCCTTATAAAATAATGCCATGCATGTCTTCACAATTGTAAGCCTGTTTATGGAAATGAGGTAGAACTTATAGAAACTGGCTGGAATTGAATAACCTGGTAGCTATCACTGATTATCCTAGACTAAGGTATATGCTCTCTGGTTGCATGCAAAGTGGGTTTATTTGTGTCTTTATTAATGATTAACACTGTGGATTTGATCATGTGTTTCTATCTTGCCCAAACTATTTGTGGAAAGGTGACTTTGGGGAGGTATTTTGAACTTTTTAAACTCAGTACTCCCCTGTTTAAAATTAGAGTAAAAATACTGATGATTGCCTAGAGTTGCCTTATGGAAAATGAAGTAAAGTAATGAGATTACAGCAGGTAACACTTGATGAAAGGTGGCAGCTACTATTATATCATTAAATAATGTCTTAGTGCCCTGAATAGGAAACTTCTATTTAATGAAAAGATAAGAAACTTCAGAAATTACGGAATAAAACTCAATGGTTGTACATTGTTTTGACAAAACAGAAGCCATAACTTATTATTGTAAATAGTATTCACTAGGAATGTTTGTAAATTATGTTAATTGTTCCTTTTGCTATATTTTTTCAGGATTAAAAAATTCAGAAAATGAGAGAACCGAAGTGGATACTTCGGTTGTTTTTAGGAATAACTCAAGAACACAATGATTTGTGCCTACAATCACTTAGTAAATTCTGTAACTAAAAATAAGTATCATTAGCAGATAATAAAATGTTTTAAAAATCATTCATGTCTTTGTGTTGAATTAAATTTAAAATTTCCTATCACTTGAGAGAACTTATAAGTGAATAACATAAGGACTGGTCATTTGCTCCTACAGATTGACCATTTAGCAGGCAAATAATGACTATATGTCTTCTTAGAGAACCTTTATATTATCTCAAATCTTTTCTTAAAATAGAATTTTGTACATCATTAAGAATAGCTGAGAAAGTTAAAAAAATGTTCAGCATGGATAGTCACTGAACCTGATCCAAATGAAAGCAAGTTTAGAAGAAAAATTCTTTACATTGAAAAAGATAAACTTTAAGAAATGTTTATATTCTATATCAAATTAAGACTTGGAACTCTAGCTTTATTCTTCACACCACATTACTAATCAAAATCTGGTCTTTTGAACTCATTCTACAGCAAAAAATATTTTCAGTGAAATTATGTGATATGTAGAGTAATTCACTGAATTTGAAATTATTGAAGCAATTATTTTGCCTAAGAAAAATTTAATAATGGAACTTCAAGCAGAGAATTGCAGTGATTTTATACACAAGTCATTTCTTTCACTTCATAATCTTTAAGCTCATGAAGTCTACCGCATGGTCTTCAAAATGTTAACAGATGCATAAAATGGACTCAAAACAAGTTTTCTTTCCCACTCATATTTATATTTGAATCATTTTTTCCTCTTACACCCACACAAAATTGTAAACAGTCTTTTCAGGGTTTATATTACACAGCACCCTCAGTAACTTTATTCCAGTACCTTCATGATTAAGGTCCCTTAATCATTTTCTGGAATGAATAAACATAGCTTTACTGGGAAGGTATCGATATGCAAAGAAATAAGCTGATTTTAAAGAACAAAATGCAATAAGAAAGGTAAGAAAGCAGTCAATTAGCATAGGGTACTTTTAATCAACTGAGCAAATATTTTTCAAGCACTAAGTAAACTAGGCACTACTGTATGTAATAGTGAAAACAGTAGTTCCCTATCTTTAGGGCTCTAGAATCTATGAAAGGGATGCAATAAGCTATTGTCAACAGTAAAGGATGCCCAAATGGCATTAATCCTATGGCAGAAATACAGTCAAAATTCTATGGCACATAGCAGTCACAAGCTGTTCATCAGCTTGCTCACAACTCATTTCTCATTGGCAGAGCTGGAACTGATCCCAGAATATGGCCTTCCTCCTACTTGGGAGAGAGATGTGTCCTCTCTACTGCCCAGGGAGAGAAGGTCCATTCATCCACACCAACTATGACATCAGTTACCATAGTTTTATACTGCTTGTCTCTTCTTAGTTGAGGGATAGGTTGTGGTGGACCATGAGTATATAATGAGGGCAAAGGGCAAGTGTCCTGGGAAAGAAAGAACTCTTAGGGATTAGCTTTCTCTTTTATTAAAGGACGTATAGATACACTCTAGGGGGAAAAAGGGTGCTTTTCTTTTGATCATTTGTTTGAAGTTGTGATTCATGAGCTGCGTCTGCTGTCTTGTGATCAAAAGTTGGAAGGAGAAAAATAAAATTTCCTGAGGATATTTGTGGCATCATTGTGTCCTGAAATTGCCCATCCCTAGGACCACCTACAGCTATATGCTTTGCTATTTCAATGACGAGCATGAGCCATGGAGCTTAAACAGAATTACCATTTTGGTAGCCCTGTTGCATAAATTGACTCTAACTCTTCATGACTATCTCTAAAAGATGAGTGTGATCATACTTGCCCCAGATCATGGACAACAACTTGCAGAATGTGCTGGATTGTTAGTAACATAATACTTGACATAGGAGCACTGGACATGTATTTAGCTTCTTTCTTTTGTAGAAGTCACATTCTCAGGCTATCAATACTGACAGGACTGCATTAGTGAGTATATATTTCATACTGAATTAGTGAGTTTAGTATTTAGTTTATATGAAACTAAATTAAATCAACTGCATTCTAATGTCTCCTTCTCTTAAGGTGTTTTCTCCTAAGAAGTGGTACCAGAGCATGACAAGGCATCCGGTATGTAGACATTTTGTTTATTACTTTAAGTTAACAGGCATGCATTTTTAAATCTCCTTTTTTATTCAAATATATGCACTCTGATGTATACATTTAGGGCTAACACTGATGAAATTCTGTTGGAGGTTAACTGGCTTCAAAGATCGTGGAGGTCACAGGCATATTACAATGTTTATGTGATGATAAACCTTTAAAACTTGAGGTTTTACAATAATTTTATACTAGATAACATCCCAATTTTAATAAATGCCTAATCTATTGCTCACATGAACCTCACAAACTTTACTTTTGTTTCTTGAATGTTTTATAATATTGGGTTTGTACCATATTGAAGAATTCAACTTCAATAAATAATGACTATAATTAGTAAAATGCTCATAGTTCACATATTAGAAGAGAACATGAGAAATATAATGTAACAATCTAATTTCAATCTGTATGTCTACAAATATCCATCTTAGTAGCAAATACTGAGGATGGATGTTTAAAAAGAACCTGGAAGTAATTATTAATTATCAAAGAAAATAATGGTTGCCATACTACCCAAATCAAAAGATAGATACATAGGATTACAATGCAATGGGATGAAAAACTATAGTTTGAAACATGCCATCACATTGTAATCATATGTATTATATGTAATTACATATATATATATATATATATATATATATATATATATATTACATTTTATACCTGTGTCCTACAACACATTAGTCATATGTGTGCATTTACAATTAAATGAATTAACAAAGAATAAAATTTAAAACATAGTTTCTTGGCCATAGTTGATATATTCTAAATGCTTAGCACCCACACTGGGCAAATGACTACTATATTGGGAAACCCAGATCTAAGACACTGCTAATAGAACTGACAATTTTATCAGTGTTCCTCTATTAACAACTTTCTGAGGCAGGAGAAGCATATTTATTAATTCCAAGATTTGAAACAAAAGATGACACAAAACAGATTGACTTGATAATACTGAAAAGTTGCAGTTCTCCCTAAGAAGCTATTTCCTAAGCATATCAGTGATCATAATCTTGAAAGAGGATTTTCTAAGAACTAGAGGATTCTTCTTCTTTCCTTTGTCAAACCATATACACCATGATGGTTTCTCCTCTAGTTTTCTTTCAAAACAGACAAATCTGGAATTGAAATAAATTCATTTCCCTGCTTGTAATAGAATTATTTTGGCACCAAAGGAATGGTGTTTCAGACCTCGAACCAGCCACATCTGGACTGGATGTAGGTTATGTCTGCCCTTGACCTAGAGCTTCACTGGGAAGAGATGAAAGTTTAAGCTGATTAAAAACTGAAACCAAGAAAAGTATTTTGTTCAATTCTGATAGAAATTTATTGACTGTAAACACCAGAAAAATTTGCATT